GGGGGGGGCTGTGGGGAGGGGTTGAGGGTTTTTTTACTCTTTCCACCTAAAATTAAGGGCCATTAGCTAAAATTATTTGACAAGAGTAACTGGCATTTTTGGGACACATTCCTGAGGCAATATACTGGGTACTAACTCCCCATGCTATTTGGAAGATAGATACAGAAAGCCAACCGATCTTCCACTTCAAAAGCTTGCCTTATGCAATCCTGCCCACTTCTTATTCAGAGGCAACTCATAATGGGAAAAATCCCCTCCTCCCTTTACAGAGGTCCAAAGATTTTTCCAAAGCAAAGGCTTCACTTCTTAAAAAAGCTCATTGTTCCTGAGCAACCCTACATCAACAAACCACTATGTGCCTGGGGGCTGCAAGAACATTCAATTTCAAGCTTCCAAACAGAATGGCTGTGAACTACAGTAAGTGAAAGCGCATTGCTTCAGCATGATGATAACAGCCTTGACAGGACCCAAGGAAGAAGCTGCATTGTTACCAGACATGCACATGGCTCAAAGAATTAATACATTTTAAACAGTCTGAAAATCTGAAAAGCAAACAGAAGAGTTGTTCTTGCCAAGGTCACTGGTACATTTGACACAAGTCTGAAGGCCTGGCATTATGGACAGCTGGTGAGATGAATTCTTGTCAAACTATCCTACAAACTTTCTATCCTACAAACTGCATCCTGAGAAGCATACTCTTAAAGCTAATGGTTTCATGGTACTTCCATGTAGGCTGAAAGTGTGCATTAACTACATTTGATGCTTTGGGTAACCAATTGAGATTGTGTATGTACCTTGTAGCCTTGAAATGGTATTTCAGTGTTGTAATTGTTGCCGTTGGCTCTCCATAAAGTTTAAAGAAATGCAATCTGTAGTGTAACTGGAGTTCCTATGTTTTTAGGGAACCCTGGACAAAACAGGGGAGTCACCAATAGCCTGGTCCCTAAATGTAGCCAAGCAGACATGGATAAACAAGACAGAATTTTCAGAAAAGGGATTCAATGGCTAAAAGAACTGGGGAGAGGAGCCATCAATTGAATCGGGCAGTTAAGTCTTCCAGTCATGTAATGTCACATAAAAAGGCAAGTTTTGTTTCTGAAATTCCTGCCATGATATGCGCATCTTGCTCTCACTTTGGCCCCAGTTCAGCAAGGGACTTAACTTCAAACACACGAGCTGACTTCAGTGGCATGAGCTTTAAGCCAGGCCATGCTTCAGTATCTTGCTGAATCAAGTTCTTTATGAAGAGCAACTTACTTATCTGGCAGGAGAAAGCTGCTCGGAAATCGGTACCACTCCTTCCCCACACAAACATTAACTGGCCTCCCCTCTGGCACTGTGTGAATAGTCGGCTCAGTGGCAATCCTATGAAATTCCGGATACAGGTCCAGAGGTCCATGATAGCCTAAAGAGGAGGAAGGTGATGAACAAAGAGTGAAAAGGTGGGCGGTATTCTCACGGCTTGATTTGTTTATATTTAAGCATCCCATCAAAATGCTAGGAGCTTTTCGAGTACATGCCCACCTACTCAATTCGCATAGCTAAAGAGTGCCCATCCCCCTATACCACCCCACTTGCAATATTATAGCAAGGCATGCTTCAACGTCAGCCGCACTTTCCTCACCAACCTGCCAAAATCATGAACATTCCTGTGCTTGTTTAATAACACTTTGATTTTATTGTAGGCCTTTCCCCATACCATAGGTTTCCACTGTTCAAAGAGCTTAGCTTAGTTAAGAACATAAAAATGGAAATTCCACAAGGGCTTTTGCTAAAGTAATAAAAGTTCATATCAATCACAAGCCAAGGTTTGCTAACCTTGGTTTAATGAATATCAAGTGACTGCTGGATGACTGTAACTGAAATACTGCATGATCACCCCGAGCAAAGGACGGGCATGTAGAAAAATGAATAAATATAAAAATAACACTATAGATAAATACTCATACAAAACCTCAAGTTCTTTCAGGGCCTTCTTTAACTGGTAGCTTCATAAATACATAAAATAAACTACACTAAAATGTAGTTAGAGTCCAAATCCCATTTCAGTACCTTGCTATAACATGGCACTTTTATCCCCACTCTCCTGTCACTACTACATATTGCTTCAATCCTGCAAATAAAAATGCCCAGGCTTTAATTTACTTGAGTGAGAAGTTCCACTGAAGTTAATGGGCCTACTCCTGGCCCCAATCCCAGAATGCACATACACACACTTAACTTTAAGCACTTGCTTAAATCCACAGACATCCAGGAAGCACTTAATCATATTCCAGAGCACAAGCTTTACATGCTGAAGAGCTCTATTGAGTATTGCCCCACACGTGTAAAGATATGTCCATGTATAAGCACTGGTCTACACACAGACATGTTACTGGTATAACCAGGTTGATTAGGGTGTGATTTTTTTTCTGATATAATTATATCCACATAAGCCCTAGTGAGGAAACAGTCACACTGGAATAGAGGTACCTTATCCTGGTACAGCTTATCACCTGAGGTGGAGGGTTGTTGCACTTCCGTTACTACATCATATAGTTAACAAAAAAACTTTTATGCACAGAACAAGCCTCAAGTGTTTGTAGGATCAGGGTTTACATCTCAAAGTGAAGTCCTCACTGGACTGTCTTGCAACTGTCTGAGTTCAAGAACAGGACCATCCTAGAAACACTAACCTTTGAATAAAGCCACAGAGCGCGAGAGAGACAACAGCCCAAAGATAAAAACCGTCCCCAGAGCCAGCCAGTTGGAGGACACTGTGTAGTGCTCCAGGCGGTAACGCTGGAATGCGAAGTGGTAACATTTCTATGAGGGGGGAAAAAGTATTAATGTCATTAAACCTATGAGGTAGATGAACAGAAATTCAGCCCCCATGGCCTTGGGGAGAAAACCAGCTGTAAAAGGGAGAGAGCAGGTGGTACCAAATAGAATGCCAAAAGTGGTTAAGTTAAAGAGACAATATCAACTTGAATTCTTTGGAAACTAATTTTTTTTAAATCTATTTTCTACTAAATCCTTTGTAACAGATGCAGCTTCCACCATCAGTGCATCTGTCTGAGCCCGGCCTCAGTTTCCCAGGCTTGTTTCCTCAAAAAACTGCATGGAGATTCCCTTCTTGGGAATTTGGTTTATTTAAAGAACTGTTCAACTGAACTTATCACGAACACTTTTCAACCCTCTTTCTCAGGAGTACTTCCTTATGGAGCGTCACAGGCCTCTCCAAACAGGCCTCCTGCCTAGAAGTTGCTCAAAACCTGTCCAGCTGAGACTTCTACTACAGGCTGAACCTCTGTGGTCCAGGACTCTCTGGTCTGGCAACATCCATGGTCTGTCTATATACAATACAATGATGTGCCGGACCAGCGCATTTGCAGTAGTGTTTAAATATAGCCCTGCCTGACACTTTTTAAAAATCCCTCTAAGGGTTTTTCTGTTCTTCTGACAGGTCTTTTTAACAGACCCAAAAGAAACAGTAGGCAACATACTCAGACTCTGCCCCCCTGTCCCTTTCCTCTCTTGCAGGAGGGTTTATTCACTTCGGGCATGTCTACACTTGCACCCTATTTTGAAATAGGGATGCAAATGAAGACATTCGAAATTGCAAATGAAGCCAGGATTTAAATATCCCACGCTTCATTTGTATATTCACGTTATGGCGCTATTTCGAAATAACAGACTCTGTTAAGACACGGTTATTTTGAGAGAAAACCCTTCTCTTGAAATAACCCTTATTCCTCATACAATGAGGTTTACCAGTTATTTCGAGAGAAGGGTTTTCTCTTGAAATAATCGTGTCTTAACAGCATCTGTTATTTCGAAATAGCGCCATAATGAATATGCAAATGAAATGCGGGATATTTAAATCCTTGGCTTCATTTGCAATTTCAAATGTCTTCATTTGCATCCCTATTTCGAAATAGGGTGCAAGTGTAGACATACCTTTCCTGTCCTAAAATGGTCTCTATTCCTCTTGCATCATTTGCTTTTGTCTGAGAACGGCTGTAGGATTATTATTTCACGCTCAACGTGTATGGGGAGCAGGGAAGCAGTTTAAATTCTCAGACAGCTCCTACCTACTGGAAGTAAATCAAGTGGTGTTAAAATATGCAAAGCAGAGACACACACCAGAGTATCCCACAGCCATGTTTGGCAGGCGTCCCAAACCACTGCCTTCTCAGGGGCCTTCCTACGGCCCACAGCAATTCTCAGCCAGGGCTATAAACTTGCCAGTAGTACAGGGCCTGATCCTGAGAGCAGGCAGCTCAAGAATTGCACATGAACAGAGCCTGGGGGTGGGAAGTACTGCAATAGCGGGAAGTGCTGCAGGTCAGGACTGTGGGGCATTGGCAGGGCTGGGTAAGAGGACAGCACTACAATAGCAGAGGGTGCTGCAGACCTGGTTTCAGGGGCACTGGCAATGGGCCTAAGACTGAAACAGCAAGAGATAGTGTACACAGAATGGACGGTAATGGCAGAACCAAGGGGAGCAGCTTGAATAGTCTACTATAGAGACTAATGACTCTGATTCATGAGGATGTTCCAGGGAGCAGTTTGAATAGTCTACTAGAGAGACTAATGACTCTGATTCATGAGGATGTTCCAGGAGTAATAAACGAATAATTTCACCTCTGTGAAGTTTTCTATTGAGCTGGAACATTTGACTCTACAAAGTGTTTTAATCTACATTTATTAAACCCTTTTATTTTAGCTTTTTTTAAAAAGCAATTTCCTAACATCTAAACAACACTACTTTCCTTATAAATAAGGGAATGATGAAAATTGTGTATTTCAACAGGCACTTCTGACTCGCCCAGCTGCAAAGGTCAAATGTCATAGTTTAATAATGCAATCACATTAGAAGTTTGTCCAGGTTTGCATCAAATGAGGAGTCTTTCAGAACATTTGGGCCACTATTCTGGATTGGGCCAGGGTTGTTCTCACCATGTGAGAGATTTCTAACGACAGGCAGTTGTGATGTTGCAGTGGTAACACCGCAGAACACCCATGAAATGTCATGCAGATTAATATTTGGAAATAGATCTTGACAGCCTAGATCTGGTGTTCAGGCTAATCCAAGATTTTTACATCATTAGCACATTCTATTCAGGCCTTTATGCCATTTAGGGAGGGAAATCTCAACAGTTTTGCTTCTGCATCACTGCTTTACGGGGATAAAATGATTCTGCACAAGTTCTCAACCAACCAGAACTAGAGGATTATGTTTAACCAGCTGCTTTATAAAACACAGCAAACTCGTACACATTTTAACTTTAGAACTGTTGTGTTTTTTCAGTCCCAGTGTCTCATGATCAATCTATTATGTGCCACATTCTGAAAACTCAAACCCCACTAGCTAACAATCAGAAACAGCTGACTACACATTGTGCTTTTGGAGTTGCACTATGAGCACTGCAGAACTATATGGATTCTATTGCAGCAGCAGATGTTCCGCAGATGTTGCTAAGCCTTCAAGAGCAATGATACAGAAGTAAACAGGTAATTAAACCCCCTTTAGGTACCAGGCTATAAAATGCAGCACTTCCCACTGAAACCCACCTGAAGGGCAGAGAGAGCCACAGCTCCACAGAGACAGATGAGAGGATATATGGGAAACAGAAACCGTTCCTCTTTGTGGGGTTGACAGAAGAAAATCATGATCCAGATGTACATAGGAGCTAGCGTAAGCCAATATGGGCGACCCAGATTCTGGACTGAAAGAAGCATAAATGAGTCAATCAATCAAGGCTCATGAATCTAGTAAAATAACTATGAGCATTTTCCTGAGGTCTCATTAATTCTCTCTCTCTCCCTCCCCGGAATGTTTCTTTGTTCAATCCCAAGCAGCATTTCCAGTCTCCATGTCACAGCCAAAACAGCAAGAAATCAGTAAGGGGTGAAAGCTTGCTTAGTGGATTTCTGTCCCAGAATGCAGGGAGGCCAAATTTCTGTCCCAAAATGCAGAATGCAGGGAAGCGGAAGTGGAATCTGGATAATAAGCCTAGAGCCAATTGGAGGAGAGGAGACAAAATCCATCATGAGCTAAAGCTTCTAAGCAGGAAATCAAAAATTCCTGATTTTTGCTTTGTACTATGCTAGCACATCCAGGCATCAGAGATAGACTCCTAGGAAGCTTACATTCCTAACTGATGAAGTGGTTATTTAGGCACTAGTATTTCTAAAACCCCTGTTCAATACAAAACTAACAGTGCACATAATATCTCTCAAGTACCCTCTGTGTAAAGCAGGAAATAATTCATTCAAAAATAACAATAATTACCCTGAATTTTAGTCTGACAGAGGAGGTTGTTCAATGCAACTTTAAATCCTCTCCTCACAACCCTCCAAAAACAGCAGTGTTAAACTAATAAGCACAAAGACATCTCACAGACATCAAGAACAAAACACCCAGAAGAGTGGCCCCTGCCATTAGGTACACAAGTCTTAGGTGAGCAGCAGGAAACCTGCATTTATAGGAATTCCAACTGAGCTTTTACTGGCTTCTGACAATGTCATGCACATTGAAGGAACAGACACAAGCAGCACCCTCTAGTGTATGCTTTCAGGAAGACTGCATTACAACACAATTTCTTAACAAAATTCCAAACATGATCCGAATCCTAACAGGAAATGCTGATCATGATGTTGCTCTCTGCCCTAAAGAGTGCTAGCAGCAGCCAGGTTTGAGGATGTAACCACTGTGTTTTTTCCTTCTCCTATTTTCCCGCTGCCCTGGTATTTTAGAAGAGCATCTTGCCAAACTGCATGAGTTAAACGGACATCTTTTGATTTAAGAGAAACCCAGTATGAATTGGACAATGTTTTGGGGTTTTTTCACACTAAAAACAATGGAGTTCAGTGGCATCTTAAAGATTAACTGATTTATTTGGGAACAAGCTTTTGTGGGCAAAAACCCACTTCGATGATGAAGTGGGTTTCTGCCTACAAAAGCTTATGCCCAAATCAATCTTTAAGGTTCCACTGGACTCCTTGTGTTTTTTGCAGATACCCCTCTGATCACAGTGTAATTTACAAAGGACTAAGCGATCACTCTGAAAGTCAAAGGTCACACTATCAAAATGGTTTCTACTGTCCTTAACATCTGTGAATCTAAAATCTGCCAAAATGGGGTTTAATTGTATAATTTTATAGACATTCCTACTAGTCCCTCTAAGCAGAGATAGCTAATAGAACTAAGAATTTAAACTTCATTTGTTCCCTCATGAAGATAAATATTCAATTATTTCACTGGCACAGCTGTGAAATAGTAGATTAAAGTACAAGAGACTTATTTCAAGAAGAAGTTTTTCACAAATCTGCCCTACCCGGGCTCAATCCTGCAAAGTGCAGAGTGCCTTCAGCACTTCCTACAAGTACTCACATCTCTGCTTCTTTCAAGGTCATGCTCCATATGGTCAGCAGCAAGGGAAGGGGGTGGCTCGTAGGGGACAGAATGGTTTATGAAGAAATAATGACTTGAAAAATCCTAACTAGATCCAATTCCGCCCCCCCTCCTCAAAAAACAGTTCTCTCAAAGCTCTCTTCTGAAATGTCCTGGCAGTTGCATTTAAAATAACAGTAGAAAAGTGCAGAGAACTGAGGGCTGACACTACCAATAGAAGATAAGATGGAGATAACTTTGAGGGATTCTTCTTCCCCCTAAAATTTCAGTCAGGGTTATTCCTGAAGCATTTGCATCTGTGGCTGAAGAGCGTGCACTATACAATTTGTCATACTTACTTGGCGTACTTCAGCCTTGACAGCACAATGTTCTTCAGAGGAGAGGGAGGCATGAGGAATGAAAGGATCATCCTTAAAGAGTCACGACTGTGCGCTATTGTGAGCTCAGGTGTAATTTGCTGCCTCGGTCTGCTGACAGCACCCATTACAGGGTAAATAGGAACCATGCTGTGTTTCTGTAAAGAGTTCTCTGGCCCTGATTTTACTTCCAAGAAAGAAAAGCTGACTATGCAGCAAATAGGCTCTCGCCTAATTTTCAAGGATCTGGGAGACATGGGCTGTGGGGAGCTCAGTTCTCAAAGACCACAACACTCACCATGAAATTTCTGTAGCAGACATTCCATTAGAGAGGTCAGTGGCAGGGCGAGCAAGGCCAAGGCAAATGCCACGTTGAAGTTCAGAAAGCCATTAATAAAATAGAAGGACCAGGGCTCAGTACCTACAAGGGGGAAAGAAAGCAAAGATAATTAGTATGAAAGCCTAAAAGGACTGGATGTTGCAGCAGGCCCAGTCTCTCTCCACCCAGGCCACAGTTAGCGAGTAGCAACTCCAGATGTCGATTCTATGTAGCTTAAACCAAAGAATGTGGTAAGAAGCATCTTCCAGGGATGTTAGCAGGTAACCAGTTACCCAGTTAGTATTGGGATCTTACCAGGTAATGGTTAACTGGTACCCAGGGAGCAGCCCCCACGCACAGCCTGCTGTGGGCAGAGCATTGCTCCAGCCCCACCAGGTCTGCACAGGGCTGTTGCTTCCAGTCCCACATGGGGCTGTCAGCCCTGCACAGGGCTGCCCCTTCCAGCCCCGCGCAGGCTGGAAGCCGGCAGCCACACAAAGAACCAGAAGCAGCTGGACTGTAGCAGCCCCTGCCCACCCCCGTTTAATCAGTCAACTGGTTTATACTTAACATTTAACCGGTTAACTAATTAAACAGGATTTTACATCCCTAGTATCTTACATTAAGAAAAACAGTGTGGCCTAGAGGATTTGAGCAGAACTTAGGTTCTCATTCTGCTTTACCACTGATTTCTGAGTCACTTCCACTTTTCCACCCAGCTATAAAATGGGTATAATAATGTCAGGAGGATATGTTGATACTCAGCCCTCTAGCATGCACTATTACATTGCTGTCTCCATGCAAATAACTTCATTGTTTCTCCCTTTGGGAACTACTTATTCTTAAACAAAAGCACATGCACAACATACTGTCTTTTCCCTTCCCCTTATTAGTGGTTAATCCTCAATGTTACACCCACTGCCTGCTGTTCATGAAGCCCCGGGACATTCTATCAGCCCCAAAAGAATGGGAGCCTCTCAAGACGTAAATGCACGGTACAGCTGCCATGACGCCAGACAGCCACCATTCCATTCGGAAAGCCTATGCTCTGAGAAAGTTGCAACTAAAACTGACAATGCCAAGAGACGCCGCTTCTCTAACCTGACACCCACTAAAGCAGAGAAGCATCATAAGCGAGAGCCCGCTACAGAAGCCCTGGATGTTAAAAGATTGCTTCTGTCTGGAGTGATGCAGTCTCTCAGGCTGCCAGAGCTATAAAAGTTATTTCAAACAAACAAGAGAAAAGAGCTTGCATTCATGCTTTATCCACTTGGGACACCTACTATAAAGTTCATCTATCTGCTAGTTACATACATCTTCAGTCTCTAAAAGTTTCCCTGGGTCAATTTGTTTTTCCTACAGTTTAAGCTTTAAAAATAGGACACAAACACATTTATTCAGTAAACAGCAGCAAGTCAACCCCTCTTACTGACACGACACGCTGTTGGCTGCAAGTTTCGAAGGATGCAAACTGACAAATTCCAGTTCAACTGTCATTCGTTTGTACTCTTAATTCAAGATGCTTAAAATCCTGAACAGTGGGGAATGCCAGTTCCTCTCTGTACGTTTACCATTTTCTTGGTATGATTAGCACAATCAGTCAGTAAATGACACGCGGGGGCTTTAATCACAGTGCTGTTGTGACATATGTCACATGCCGTGGCAATTTCCTGCAATCAAAGCCACTTAAAAAGGGTCTGTGTTGAAATCAATCAGACAACTGAAAAGCAGCAAGGAAAACCTGACACCTCTGCAGCCTGTACAACTAAATATGATTAGAAGTTGAACTGTAATGTCAGAAACAAGGAGAAGGAGTTACCAACGCAAAGCCCAAGCAATTCAGGTTTATTTGGGAATCCTACTTTCATCAGCACAGAAGCACTCGCAGCAATACGCAATTCACATTTTGTGATTTCTTTTTAATTGGAGAGCTTATCAGAAATTCTCCTCTAGCCCCAACTCACCTACGTCATTGCCTTCGAAATCTTAGGTGAGTGTTATCCTTAGCCTGCCAAAGCCCAAACATGGGACACCATGTGTGACAAAGACCCGAAAGGATGAACACACAAAAATTACCCATGCAGCAAATTTGCAATGGCTGTGGGATTCCTTCCTCCAACATAAATAACCCTTTCCATGACTTCTGTTTGACGATTCTTTATTTCTGATGGCTATAATTTTGAATAATAAAAGTGAAAGGGACAGCAAATGTATGCAGAACATAGATAACTTTGAAACTAAAGTGCCCCCTTTGAACGCCAGGGCATTCAAGAGGTATGCAAGTAAGAGAAAAGCCTGTAACATAGAAGGGAATTAAATGTAAACAGTATTATTTATATTACCATAGCTCCTAGGAGCCCTAGTTGTAAGACCAGGATCTGATGATGCTAGATCAGGAGCGGACAAGATATGGCCTGGGGACTGGATGCAGCCTTCCCACCCGCGGCACAGAGCAGCACTGCTCAAGCTGCTCCCTGTGACTCTCTGTGCTGCAGAGGGAGGGTTGGAAATCAGTGCGGGGAGGGGAGAAGATTTGACAGCTGACCTGCTTAGGTAGGCACCTCTCAGCCAGAGCCTGCCTCAGGCACCCCGTCCTTTCTCACAGCCAACTCCCTCTGAGACCCTGCACCCCACTTCTATGCCCGCTCCCCCCTGGGCCAGAATCCTCTCCTGTACCCACACCCTCTCCTGGACCCTGCCCCCCAGATCACTACCCAAATACTCTGTACCCTCCTCCCCGCCCCAGGTCCCAACTCCCTCCCAGAGCCTACACCCTTTCCTACATCCCTCCCCCAGGCCAGAATCCTCTCCTGCACACACATCCCCTCCCAGACCCCTGCACTCCAGATCACAACCCCCTCTCAGACCCTACACTCCTTCCTGCACTCCAGTTCCCTACTCTAAGCTCCCTTCTGCATTGAACATCCACCCCAGGCCCCACACCAGCTCCACAGAAAAGTGCAGCCCTTGACCACTTACCAAAATCCTGAAGTGCCCCCTCAACAAAAATTATAGTCCACCCCTATGCTGGATGCTCTATGGACACAGAAACAAAAAGACAATCCCTATCCCAAAAGACCTTCCAATCTCAGTATAAAACAGGACAAACTATGTTGCTTCTGTCCTACCTCTCTGAACTGAAGTGATAACTGAAGCCTGTTAGTTAACATCCAGCTAGCACATGGCAGCTTGCCTCAGTTTCCCCAGCTAACTGCACCCTACATTCTTTGTAAAGTACTTTGTGATCTACTGATGAAGAGATAGTTAGGAGGTAAGTGTTAAACGGTAACTGAAATTATTATACCCTGTAATAGGGAGCCTTAAAGGGAAATTCTGATTTCAGGGGGGCACCCACATTTAGGAAATGTGGGAAGAATACTCAATATACCAAGAGCAGTGAATAGACTCCCTGGGAGAGAACTCTGTATGTAAACAAGGATTTGGTTTCTTCCCAGCCCTGTTGCTACTGGATTCCATACTGCAGTCGCAATGCTGATGTGGAAGGTGTAGTAACATACCAAACAGAGAGCCGCTACTTCAGTGCTGGATGGAGCATCTTGGGCAAGCAGGGTGGGAGGACAGCTCTTCTCCAAAACGCCCTTCTTCTCTGCAACAGGACTGTGTTCCTTTCCAGTGTTCTAGCACATCAGTGGGCAACATTCCAGTAGTCTCCCCTCCTGGGATCTGCCTTAATAACCCTCTAACACACACACGCAGTACCTCCCAGGAAAGCCAGTCCACCTTCCCACGACTTCCCTGCTGGTTTAATTCATCCCTCTGTTCTGTATCCCATGAACCATCTTTTAGATGGCCACAGCCCACCTTCCAAGGCCGGGGGCAGTATCCTTCAAACTCAGGGTATGTCTACACTAGCCCCCTAGATCAATCTAGGGAGGCTAATGAGGGTGACCGAAATTGCAAATGAAGCACAGGATTTAAATATCCCGTGCTTGATTTGCATATTCCCGGCCGGTCGCCATTTTAGAAATTGACTAGCCGGAAGTAACTGCCCGCATCTACAAGCAGCAGTGAAACAGGATTCTGAACTAAAGCCCTAACTCGAATTATCTGGTATTCCTCCTGCAATGAGGTTTACCTGTAGCTATTTCCAGTGGAGAGATGCCCTGTTCTATCCAGGTCCTCCAGAGAGAACAGGGCCTGCCTATTATATTCGGTGTTTCTCTTCCCAACAGGCCTTGCTTTAGTCCATAGTCACAGGACCTTGGGGAAAACCAGGGTCAGATGCAAGTTGGGCCGAGGCTCCCCTGAGAGAGGCACAGCCACCTCATGACAGACTCCAGTGACAACATACAAGATAAATGGCCGGGAGCAGTGTTTTGATGCAGAGGCCCTTTCCGTAAGTTTGCTGCAAAGTGACTGTACTGCCCTCTTAAGGAGTAAGAGCTGGAGCCTTTCTCCTTGTCCAAGGACACATTTACGGCCGTGGCTCAGAAAAGAAAGCCTAATCAAACAGGAATAATTGTATCACGCAGGCTAGTTAAGTGACCCACTGATGCACGGTTTTATGTAGAAACACAAGCTTGAGGTCTGGTCACTGGAAGGAGGGGGGGGGGGGCGCCTCTCACATTTACACATCTCTCTGCCTCCCAGTGCAAAATGTCTTCATCTGTGTCATTCAGAGAGGCTCAAGGTGACTGGAGACAGCACAACATTGAAAAGGCCACTACACACAAGGCCTGCTCCTGTTAGTGTCCTTTGGGATGAAGCTACTACCCATCTACAGAACAGTGGGAATAAGCTTCCCTCCTGTCATTTTCATAAGACTAAGAATTAGAAGGTTTCTCCCAGGTCATTCAAGCAGAAACAGAAGAATAAACCATGCAAATCATATGGACTCATTGCTCCACATCCAGATTAGCAGTGGTCTATTAAGAGAGAAAAGCTGCTGCAAGTGGAGGAAAGAGAACTGTGCAGTGGTTTTAGCAGGGACCACTGATGCAGCAGGCTATCTATGAGGAGAACCCACAACAGAGATTACTGGGCATCCCAGAGGCAAAAAATTTCAGCCTCCTGTTCCAATTCCGGGGCCACTACAGCTTTTAAACTCAATGAGCCAGATAAAATAGGCTTTTTCATATTACTCTTTGTACTACTGTAGCATCATGGACCTTAACTCCACTGTACGAGGTGCTGAACAAACAGATGCAACTCTAGTGAATTCATTCAGGGCTGAACCTAACCCCAAACGCTTCCCAAGTGTCACCACATGACAAGTCACAACAAAAGCTCATCACATAAATGGGACAGCACATCAGACAAATCCACGGGGCCAGGGTCAATTTACTGCTCAGCTAATTATTCTCTCCAACTGTTCATCTCAAGAATACACATCAGTGATATCCGCATATAAGCCGCTGTCCTCACGGACACAGGACTCAGGATAACTGACAGTAGAAATATTCACTACATTGCGTGCCTCCATCAGAGGGGGGGAAAGGGGGAAAACCTGCTCTTCTTACCTGCAGGATTGCAGCTTGTAAGCAAGGAAGATACTCTACCATGTTCAGATACCACGTTTATGGATGTGGCATCAAAATGCAAATAGAGCAGGCAGGAAATTAAAGGAGAATGGGGGTACCAGTGTTCCCTTTCATCTATGTCTGCCCAGAGTGTAACAGCCTCTCCCTCGGGTACTTTGCACTGAAGGGATGTAGCCTATGCTCACACAACAGGCTACATCTCTCAAAGAAGGAAGATCTACGTTCCAACTAACCTCCCGACTGGCCCATATCAGCTTGACTCAGGCTCATGGAGCTCAGGCTGAGGAGCATACAACTGCAAGGGGGAAGATTCCCAGAATGCAGGTTCCTGCCTGAGCCCAAACATCTACACTAATTTCACAGAGCCCAAGCCCTGTGAGCCCGAGTCAGCGGATATGAGCCAGCTAAAGGTGTTGAACTGCAGTGCAGACATATCCTTAAAGTCCCAGCCACTCCACGACAGACTCCAGTGATAGCAGAAGATGGAAGGCAAGAAATAAGGAGCCTAGAACAAGCCTTTAATCCTGATGCTAAAGATCAGCTCCTAGTAGATTTTTATCCCCTTTCCACAAAAGCTGGGAAAGTGCAGAAAAGGCTCAGCACATGCTGTCAGCGTTGGCTCTCCCTGGGTGGTGACTTTTCCTTACAAGTAAACTTTGTAAAGCTTTCGACACAGATAGCAGGACGCCCGCCTGGTCACACAGCATTTGGCAGACATTTCACCAAGCCTCTTCTATTCACATGAAGCATCTCTGTGCACAAACACTTCAGAAGGGATCGGTTCCCAGAAGACCCTGGAAATAGCTTGCACGCTAGCGTAGGAAGGTCAGGATGGGCCCATGCCAAACCCAACCCCAGCACTAAAAAAGAGTCTTAAGTTTCCATTACATAGGAGTCTCCAGAGGCAAATGGTGAAATGGGTTGGGGGCTCACCAGTCACATGACACCTTCCCCCCCCTGCCCCAGACCGGGGAATGGTTGGGATAACCCCCCTCTGCTCCAGGCCACGCCTCTCTCCACCCCTACTCCCGAGCAATGCAGCCCAGAGGACAAGCGGTGCCAGGGGCTGGTGCTGGCAGCAGAGATCTGTCCCTCCCTCCTCTGCACTCACTGGCAACAGTGGGAAGAGGTGCAATGGCCCCAGCCCGTTTCTAGGGGCGCAGGGGCTGCTAAATGAGCCTTGGGGGAGGCTTCGCAAGCCGCACTTTGAGGAGTGGGGGGAAGAACCGCATACAGCTCGTGAGCTGCAGATTAGCCACCCCTGGTCTAGATCATCCCTGACAGGTGTCTATCTAACCTGCTCTTAAATATCTCCAGTGACGGAGATTCCACAACCTCCCCAGACAATTTATTCCAGTGTTTAATCACCCTGGCAGGCAGGATGTTTTTCTTGATGTCTAACCTAAACCTCCCTTGGTGCAATTTAAGCCCATTGCGTCTTGTCCCATCATCAGAGGCCAAGGAGAACAATTTTTCTCCCTCTTCCGTGTGACACCCTTGTAGAGACTTGAAAACCACTACCATGTTCCCACTCAGGCTTTTTTCCAAACTAAACAAGCCCGATTCATTCAGTCTTCCCTCACAGCTTATGTTTTCTAGACTTTTAATCATTTTTGTTGCTCTTCTCTGGACCCTTTCCAATTTCGCCACATCTTTCTTGAAATGTGGTGCCCAGAACTGGACACAATACTCCAACTGAGGCCTAATCAGTGCAGAGTAGCGTGGAAGAACAACTTCTCATGTCTTGCTCACAACACTCCTGTTAATGCATCCCAGAATCATGTTTGCTTTTTTTGCAACCGTGTCACATTGTTGACTCCTATTTTGCTTGTGGGTCCACTATGACCCCTCGATCCCTTTCTGCAGGACTCCTTCCTAGACAGTTGCTTCCCATTTTGTATGTGTGAAATGGATTGTTCCTTCCTAAGTGGAGCACTTTGCATTTGTCCTTATTAAACTTCCTCTCTCATACTGGACAGCACCCAATGCTTCTGAGGAAGGTGTAAGAACTGCCCACTAGGCAGGCAAGCACTAATCCTGCTCCTCGGTCCCGATTAGGTCTCTAACAGAGAGTGGCCTAAAATCAAAAGTTTTATTACCCTCCCAAAGTTTCTGTGATCATTAATTATGACAACTTGGGATGTTCTTGATGTTCAATCTATTTTTAGATATTGCTAAAGTGTAGGCCTCAAAATCTTCATGAGTCAATCAGTTCCACAGTCTAATTCCACCTCGTGTGAAGAAATCTGCTTTGATCCGTTTTGAATTTTTGCCACCTTGATCAAAATCTAACCCCATCTCTGCCACCGACTTCCTTTGTGATCTTGAGCAAATTGCTTTCCCTATTCTGTCCCTCGGTCTTCTGATCTGGATTTTTATCATACCAACCACAAAGCGAATGGGTGTTATAGGTTCCCTGAACAGCTCTAAAGAAAACAAGAGCTATATCTGACTAAACATTATTATTGTTCCTCTTCCACAGCCAAGGTCTATCATTTGTCAGGAGCAATTCTTATGTCTGAGAGAAATAAACAGCGATCAGAGGAAAGCCAAAGCCCATCTGACTCCTTAACAAACAGCAGCATGCAGAATTAATTAACCTTTTGTCTTTCTCCAGATTCCTGCAAAAGCCCTTGTGGTTAACCCTCTTCTGCTGAATGGCAGCAAAGCTCATGCACTACCACAGAAGCAGGGAGATTCCCCAAACCACAGCATGGAACCCATGAGTTCATGAAACACTGATGAGAAGTGAAAGGGGTAAGAGGCTGCAATCTCTGCATCACATCTGGGAGAGATGGGAAAGCCACAAACAGGATTACATTTGATACCAACATTCCCCCAGCACTGTCTTGCTTTGGTTTAAGAGTGTAACCAACATTATTCAGATAGATGATGAGTCATGCAGTGCTTTGTTACAAACAATCACTTTGAGTAACACTCATGAAACATGGAGAGGAAAACATAACTGCACCTTGGGGAGCATGTGAAACTTACAAAATTGGGCACAAATAAAATACAATGTTGTAAAATTGAATCTCCAACAAGTTCGCTGCTAAAAGTTCTTTACTGTGAAGCGTAGGCTGCTGTGACATCCTGTGAGGTCTCTGTGATGCACCAGGACTTCAAAAGCTAGAAACTCACGGAAAGCAACTTAGTTTAGCATTCAGCAAAACAAACAGGAAATATAAAAATATAAAACGTGGGCAGCATTCCTGATTCAAGAGAGACATCCAGTGGCAAGAGACAGGAACTGCCTCACTAGTGAGCTCAGAGGAAAAGTCTGAAGGACGTCCTTGCATCCAGACCGGATCACAAACACGTGGGTTTGTCCCGCAGAAATTCAGAGCATTAGTTTTCAAGTTTATCTGCCACAAATGAAATGAGCCCTCACAATCCATCCCAATAGTTTGTCATAACACACTCACCATAAAGATCGGGTCCATGAGATGTGAAAACGTTGTATAAAACTATGTTGAGAGGAGTGATTACCAGCTTCCCGTAGTAATAACTATCAACAATCACCAAGGGGACCTGAAACAAAGCATTTAAAATGCATGTAATACTGGTGGCTTTCCCAACTCCCAATCAACAAGGGCCTGATCACTGTGTGGTGTCCATATTTGTAACAGAATAAACAGCCTTCCAGCTCCCATTTTTTTTATATATAATGGAGATTGCCTATCTCCTAGAACTGGAAGGAGACCTTGAAAGGTCATCAAGTCCAGTCCCCTGCTTTCACAGCAGGACCAAATACCATCCCTGACAAATTTTTGCTCCAAATCCCTAAATGGCCTCTGCAAGGCTTGAACTCACAACCCTGGGTTTAGCAGGCCAATGCTCAAACAACAGAGCTATCCCTCCCCCCATACTGCACAAATGCTAGGTACATGATGCCTGGCTCTGACAAGGCTCCTACAGGACAGTCATAGCTTTTCAGTGCTACAGCTTCTTCCAGAAGCACACAGGGTTACGCAGTTCTTCATGCAGCATGAACTGGAGATGCCGAGAGCAGAAGGGGAGTTTGGTTCCTATGCCCCTGCTACTCCCTTGCCCTGCTAAGACTGGACAGTGAAGGTCAAAGGCAGAGGTTTTGAGCAGCATCTCATTAACCACACCAGCCTTTAGGGTGGGGCATTCAGCAGCAGCACCCAGTATTGGCATGTGCTGCTTTGAGCACCAGGATGCATGTTTTTTCCATCCCTCTGCATCAGGTTACAAGCACTGTATCTGCCCTGCACCCTCTCTACAGGCACACGAGACTGACTTTCAAGTTCTGAGTTAGACTGATTCAGCTAGAGAGGGGAGGAACAAGTAGAAACTAAAAGGCCTCTGGGAGCAGCAAGGGGAAGTCAGTCCTCAGAGGTGATGTGCTCATTGCATGGAAGCTACACAATTTCTCTGTCTTTGAAATCACCTGTAAGAATGAGAGGCGTGAACTAGGCACAGAGATGTTCCTAAGAGCAGAGAGTGAGAATATTAAGCTGTTAATAAGAACCTTAACAGACACCGAGCAATTCTTCTGAAAGGATGTTCCTTGCAGATGAGCCCTTCCTCTGCTACAACTCCAGCCCAGCTCCTCCTGTTGTGTTTTACTACAGGAACTTACCAAAAACAGGATCAGGGCAACCAGACACCAGTTCAGGAAGCTCTTCCACCTCCGCTTTATGATCAGGAAGTCAAAAGCAATAGGCAGCCTGGCAAAGACAATATTTGCATCAGGGACACTCTTCAATTTAGTAATCACATTAACTTGCAAGTCCTTACCTGCTCTCCCCCCTCCCACAGGCCGAGGAAGACAGTTAATGGGAGGAGGAACTCTCTCCCATTAGCTTCAAGCCAGGAACTTTCTCCCTGCTAGTCTTTCATCAAATGGTTCCTTTTTCCAAGGTGACTGTTTCAGTCAATCTAACAGGACAGTTGTGAGCAGCTTAGCAGCAGGGATCAAACCTGAGGCCTCTGGATATTAAAGCATGACCCATGAAGGCCTAAGCTAGAAATCCAGGCTGGGCTAGCCCATTCCGTAGCAAGCACATTAACCTCTGTACGTGGCCCACTCCCCATCACGGCACTACACTGAGAAGATAATATACAAAGGCCACCTAGACTCTGGGTAACATGTACCATGTTATGGGAGGGTTTTCCTAACGGTGCCACAGCCTCCCAGCCAGACAGGTGGGCACTCAGCCTTAAAAAGCACAGAACCTCTCCTTACCCAAGAGCCACGCTGAAGGGCCAACCCACAATGGCTCCAGCTGCCACTCCCAGCACGGCTATAGAGGTCTTATCCATATACCAACCCGTCATGGCAACTACTGTGGTATACATACAGAAACTGCTGGGGAGAAAGGCTACAAAAACAAAACAAAATAGTGGTCAGTAAGGATTTCACATAGGTAAAAACACTGCATAGGGTCAACTTCATGCTCTGTAATAGACAGAGCACAGTCTGCTGTCATCACTGGGAATGAAATCCTAGCTATGCTGAAGCCAATGGCAAAATTCCCACTGGTTTTGACAGTACCAGAATTTCACATCAAAAGGCCTCCAGTAAAGAGCCTTCTCACTCTATTCTGCCAAGATTAAGCTTAGAAATATTTCCTCCAAGATCCCTTTGCTCATAAATGCCAACATTCCACAGTGACAGCCCAGCCAGAATGCCAACATTTACAGATGTTTGATTACCCACAACACTTGCTCTATCATCTGTGTCCTTTCTTAATCGTGAAAATTATATGTACGTACTCACAGGGCAAAGAGAGACTGAGATTGCCTGGACATGATCCTCTAGGAACCAAGTGGAATTACAGGGAAATAAACAGGGAATGAATGAGAATTCCATGAACAGTGATGGAAAGCCACTGCAAATAAAGGCAGTGCAAAATTGAAGATCTCAGATATCATCTAGCTGTGATACTTCCTCTTCTTCTGAGGCCATATCATCAAATGCAAGAAGCCATTGCTTGGAATGACTTCCAACTACCATTTTTGCAAAAAGCATCCTTTCACATGCACGCAACACCTACCTCCAGTGTTTTACAAGACTGGATTGCAGGTTACAAGGGTTGGTGTGGCAGAGAACATTTAAATCGGGGGGAGGGGAAATCAAGGCACATTATAATGCCAGGCTAACACAAAATGTCACCTTTTCTCTCCCTGGTTAATAGTGGCCCATTGGCCCACATGGAAATATCAAAAACATATAAGGAAAATAGTCCCAGAATGACTAAGACTCAGTTTGAGAGCAAGGGGATTTGAAAGGCCTGGGTCATTCCACTGAGACTGGGGATAACTACAGAAACAAATAAAGACAGGAAACTTTCAAGTTAGGTGGTACACATCTGGAATAACAGCTGCTCTTTGGACAGACATTCCATTAGAAAAGTCTGCAGAAAAGCAATTGTCAAGCACAGGGCATAGAGTTATGGGAACATTTTAAGGTAATGCTTTTAAAAAAAACCTGCATTTGAACTTTTCTTTCCAGGCTTTCCTGGAGCTCCACCTGCCGTGGAGCAAACCTACCTGCAGCTGAGCAAAACATGCCAGTGCTGAGAACTAAGAAGGCTAACATCAGCCGACTCACATGCAACCCAAATTTCTTACATACGGCCCTAGGGAAAGCAGAGAGAAAAATCAGACATAGAGTCATGGAAACATCTCCTGTGAACACGAGAAAAAAACTCTTTGCACGAATCAATAGCTATTCTATACAGAGCTGAAAGCCACTCTTGGGAATCCCAAGCTGGATGGCTTTCACTCTTCAGCCTCTACAGACAAACAGAGGGAGGGATTATGGATGATCTAAACTTGGATTTTAGCCCCTTGTACAGCTATACCAGTTCAAACTCCTACTGTACAGATGGCTTTCACTAGGGTAAGTTGCACTTGTACGAATCTCAGGAAGACAGGAAATGCCAGACTCAGTCAGACCTGTGGCCCATTGAGTTCAGTATCCTGTGTCCACATGTGCTTCACCAAGGTACAGTATTTGAACTAGGGGTTTGCACTGGTACAGTTACACCAGTAGTTGCTATTTCAGAGTATATCAGGCCTGTTATACCAGTCACAGAAGCTAGCCATGAGCAGCCCATACCAAAGGCTTCCCAGAGTCATGATCACTGCCATACTCAAGACTGCAGCCAATGGAGATGCCAACTGGGATAACGACGGCTCAAAGAGAAATGGCAGGCAGAGACTTCCCATATAGACCAGCTAATTGCATGTTCAGGCTACTGCTTTATGGAGGTACAAACTCCACTGAAGGAACCCCTCAGATGGGAGCAACAGTGCAAGGAGACAGGAATGCTACTGAAATTTTAAGCTATCCAGTGCATCTCAGCTGAAATCACCTACATAAAATCAAGTCCCCTATTTCCCCCCTCTGACACACCCAGTACAACTCAGCTTTGATTTTCCTACCCAGGAATTCTGCTGATGTCAATGGGGGTATGTCTACACTACCACCCTAGTTCAAACTAGGGTGGTTAATGTAGTCATACGGAGTTGCAAATGAAGCCCGGGATTTGAATTTCCCGAGCTTCATTTGCATAAAGCCAGGCGCCGCCATTTTTAAATGTCCGCTAGTGCGGACCAGGTAGTTCGGACTAGGCTTCCTAGTCTGAACTACCTAGTCCGTGCCGCGTGTAGCCGCGCGGCACGGAGTCCGCACCAGCAGACATTTAAAAATGGCGGCGCCCGGCTTTATGCAAATGAAGCCCGGGAAATTCAAATCCTGGGCTTCATTTGCAACTCCGTATGACTACATTAACCACCCTAGTTCGAACTAGGGTGGTAGTGTAGACATACCCTGGGAGAGCTGTGCGCACAGCCTGAGCCAAATGCTGAGTTGAAACATGTTCAGTGGACCTCAGAGCAGAATTTGTCCACAGAGGCAGAATTCTAATCAATGTTTCTCTAGGAATCTTTGCTGGATACATATTTTGACAGCTTTCAATGTGAAGCACTATAATCCACGTCAGGCATTTTTATATGGGTTTTAGGTATATTTTCATCCCTCATTGTCAGTGGCAACAACCATGTTGTTCATACTGGGCTATTTGCTAAGCCACTACTTTTGTCTACTCACTTATAAAAGTAAAGCTCACAAATGCAACTCAGGAAGGCCAAGAGACATCGCAGGAAATAAAAGACAAGAACCTAGAAGAAACATTCAGAGTCAGAAACTGAATTTATAGAGGGAACCAAAGTGCCTGTTGGTAAACAGTGGAGCAAAACTAGAAAGGCTAAGGCACTATGGAGTAACTACTTCCATAGCGAGAACCCCACAAGATCTACTTATTAAACGATGGAGCCAAAGTCCATGTAACGTGGTGCATAATCCTACACCCACTGAGATCAATGTCAGAGTTCCCACTGACTTGAAAGGCACAGAATCTGGCCCTTTGACACCAAGTCGTTTTTGGCAAAACGCTGAAAAAGAAATGACTCCACTGAACTAGGCCTTGGGCTAGCCTGCCTTCTTTTTCAAGTCCTGAGAAATGAAGTTTTAACTTCAGCACTACAAAGGAAAGCTATCCCAAATATTCACGTGCTCTGTCTGCCTAGTGAAAACACATGCACACAAGAGCACCTAAGGGGTGTGGCAGATAGGTACCCTAACAACATGTTTTTTATAAATGCTTCTTTTTCACTCTCTCATCCCTGCAGGTTATCAGGTGTTGTATGATTAGTGCACCATACTGACATTTGTATTTTGATTTTTAAAATTAAGTGTTTAAAAAAAAAGATACTAACCATGGCAGGGACGCCAAAGCAATAGTGGATGAAATTTCCAGAGCATACTAGTAAAATCAGCTATACATCTTCCATGAAGTTTAACAACAGGCTTGTGACTAAACCCCCTTACACTGCTTTGAAATGCTCAGTCTTTATGTCATGGTCTGAGATCTGGCCTGAATATGTTCAAGATGCACCTTTCACACATCTTCTAGCCTGTCTTCGGTTCACAAACCCTACTAATCATACTCCTTCTGCACCCATGTAGACATCTATGTGCATGCACAAGCACACTAAATAAGAATTCTGATGCCCTGTTTATCAAACAACTGCTTCCAGATGATTTTTTACAAGGAAAATTTTGACACGAATGATTTACCTTATTTGTCTGTAGAACTCTAGCATGGAATAAGGCTGGCAATGCATGAAGCCACAGGTAGGCATAGGAGCGTATGGCATAGACTGGAGAGTATTCCCAAGTCTGGAACCCTTTCCCATATATGAGGTAGTGCATCTACAAATGCCATTAAAAAATACAGGTTAAAAGGAGGACTTGTTTTTGCTTTAGCCATTAGCAAACAATCGCATAAATTGACTGATATGTTGAGGATACAGATCAGCATGAGGCAGCTGTAGGCAAATTCATAACAAGAATCTGTGCAGACCAATTACAAAAACCCAAATTCCTCTAGTAAGGAGGAGAAGCCACTCACTGGTTCCCAGTAGTTAAACGTCTCATCACAATCAGAGATGTTACTCAAGAGGGCAGCGCAGAATCGGGCTGAGATGAGACACTTGAAAGCTGTGGATCCTTCCGGTGCCCAGACCTGGCTTGCCTTGGTCCCGGCTGGCCTAATAAAGAGTAAAGAGTGCCAGGACTTACTGGACTGGATGATATCAGATAAGGTAACAGGATAAAGAGCAGCAAGGTGACAAAGAACAAAATAAAACACAGAAAGGGAGTGAAGATACTCAGGGAAGCAATGAAAAACCTGAAACTGCATGTTTGTACTCCCTCTTCAGAATCCTTAAAACACACCAGCGTCCCCTGTAAGGTAAATGTTTGGGTGGCCACCCAGCTGGGATTCAGGTTCTGTCCAACTGATTAGCAGAGCGCCCACAGCTGGCAGCATGTGTTTCTATTGGTGGTGCACATCCACACATGCCTCAATGCACAGAAAAAAATGATTCCACACATGGATGGAAAAAAATTAGAGGGAACACTGAATCACACTGTAAGTCTACAGCTCTTTACATCCTCCTTTCAGATCCTCCTTTACATCCTGCTTCTACTCACGGCAAGCATCTTGTTCATTACATTTAAATTCAAGTTGTATTATCCTTCCACATGTCGAATAAATGTTGCTTCTTAGACAGTTACTTGGTTTAACTGACCCTCACCAAACCTGGGACCCTTTAGAGACATTTTCCTCACTCTATTTTATGTATGTATATGACCCTATCACTTTTGTATCAGAACAATTCACAATCCTTAATACATTTATCCTGACAAAAAACAGGATAAACATTTGGGCTATGTTTGGAATCATCCACTTGGATGCAAGTCACTGCTCTGCTGCAGTCTTCCTTTGGCAAGTCACTCAGTTCCTCTGTGCTTAAATCCTCCCCACGGCTAAGTCTAGACTCGCGGCTTTTTGCGTGAGTAATATGCAAATTAGGCTAAGCGTGGAATATCGCCGAGCCTCGTTTGCATACCTAATGAGCCACCATTTTTTTCAGAAGAGGCTCTTGCGCAAGGACTGTCTACACTGCCCCTTTTTGCACAAGAAAAACCCTCTTGCGCAATGTCGTTCTTCCTGAAAAGTAATAGGTGTAACGGCATTGCACAAGAGGGTTTTTCTTGCGCAAGAAGGGGCAGTGTAGACGCTCCTTCTTGCACAAGAGCCTCTTCTAAAAAAATGGTGGCTCATTAGGTATGCAAATGAGGCTCAGCGATATTCCACGCTTAGCCTCATTTGCATATTACTCGTGCAAGAAGCCGTGAGTGTAGACTTAGCCATGGGGAGGATTTAAGCACAGAGGAACTGAGTGACTTGCCAAAGGAAGACTGCAGCAGAGCAGTGACTTGCATCCAAGTCTCCAAATCACTGGATCATCTTTACACCCCTTGAATCCCCATCCCAGCATTTACTCAACCCTGCCCTGTTTAGGCAGTGAGGTTGGATGGCATCTTGGCACAAAGTGCTACACCTGCGTTTTAAACCATACTGAGGAAAAGTACATGGCCAAAGGCTCTACTTGTTGGGTGTTTTGTTTGTTTTCATTACTACTGTTATGCTTTGCTACAGATCAAACCTAGTTTTGATGTCACGGAGTCCATCCTATTGGGGTCCTTGTACCACACACGCCACCATGGCATATCAACAGTTGTACGTGAAGGATGCCCTGAGTCCAGACAAATGCGACCAGTTCAGCAAATACTCATTGAGTCCTTCTGGTACAAGAAGTGCCTAGAGCTAGGCTATGGAGCAACCATTCTGTAATGTTAAACAAGTCTGAGCAAAGCCATTGCTAGTGTTTAACAATCCCAACCTACATAGGGTTGCCCCATGAGGCTTTGGAGTCTGACAGGGTCTCTCCCTTTATAGGAAGCCTAGCTGGGTAGGGTAATATCTGTTGGTCTAAAAGATACTACCTCACCCTTGTTACTTAACATCTTGGGACAAACACAGCTACACCACTACTGCATGGATGTTTTCAAGATATCTTCATCAAGCACCAAGAAGGTTATTCTATGTGCCCTCTATCTGCAGCTCCCTCACCAGGTGGTAGGGTGCCTACTCTACACCTTGTCCATGCCATCCCCAGAGCAGATTCCCCCCAAGATGATGGACTGGCAAGCCAGGCTCCCCCTTCCCAGGTTGGGCGCCGGGCTGGCGGGTTGGGTTCCCCTTTCCTTAGGGAGGGTGACGGACTGGCACACTAACCTCTTCCCCCCGCAGTGGGATGGGCTGGCGGACTGGGTTCCTCCTCCCACCCCCGCGGAGTGATGGGCTGAGTTGATGGCCCACACCTCACCCACCCACGTGATGGGTTGGACTGGTGGGCCTGGTTCCCCCTCCCAGGTGTTGGGCTGAGCTA